CCTTCCCAGTGCCCAGTGCCCTGCACAGCCTGTAGTGCTCCATGCCCTGCCCAGTGCCCCCATCCTTCCCAGCACCCACTGCTCTTCCCAGTGATCAGTGCTCTTCTCAGTGGCCAGTGCCTTTCCCATGCCCAGCCCAGCCATCAGTGTCCAGTAAACCCTCCTGGTGCCATCCCGTTGCCCAGTGCTCTGCAGAGCCCTTCCCCAGGCCCAGCCCCTGCTGCAGTGTTCAGGGGCCCTAAGAGGGTGCAGGGCCCCTTTGCAGTGCCCTCTGCATTGCCTGGTGTCCCCTGCAATGTCCAATGCCTTCTGCATGCCTGCAGTGCCCTCCTACAGCACCCACCACAGTGCCCAGCGTCCCCCTGCAGTGCCTGCCACCTCACAGTGGCAGTGCCCCCTGCAGTGCCCAGTGTAGTGCCCAGTGTCCTCAGCTGGTTTGTGCCACCCCATAGTACTCTGCCCTGCTGCAGTGCCCATGCAGTGCAAGACCATTTGCAGTGCCCCTGCAGTGCCCAGAGCAGTGTTCCTCCTGTTTGTTGTGCCCAGCACAATACTCAGCCCCTCGGCAGTGTCTGGTGCAGCACCCTGTGACGTGTCCAGTGCCCCTACAGTGCTCAGGGCACTGCCTCTCCCCTCTTCCAGGCCACTTGCAGTGTTCAGCCCACCTGCAATGCCCAGTGTAGTGCCCCTCCCCTTTCCCTGGTCTGCCCAATGGCCTGCCCTGTGCAGTGTCTGTGCAGTGTCTGTGCAGTGTCTGTGCAGTGCCCAGTCCCCTGCAGTGTCCACACAGTGCCCGTGCAGCGTCCAACACCCCTGCAGTGCCAGTGCAATGCTCAGGCCGCATGTAGTACCCAGCTCCCTGCACCATGCCTATGCAGCACTTGTGCCATGCAGTGCCTGCTCAGTGTCCATGCAGTGCTCAACCCCCCACCCCCAACACCCATGCCATGCCCATGCAGCACCCTTGCAGTGCCTAGCACAGTGCTCAGCTCCCCCTTACTGCGCTCACACACTGCCTGGGCAGCATCCATGCCGTGCAATGCCTCTGCAGTGCCTAGTGCCATGCCTACAAAGTGCCTGTGCCCAGAGAAGTGCTCAGCCCCCTGCCACACCTGTGCCCAGTGCCCTACCCATGCTGTGCCATGCCCATGCAGTGTCCGTGCAGTACCCAGTGCAGGGCTCAGCCCCGCCCTGCCATACCCATGCTGTGCCCTTGCAGTGCCCTTGCAGTGGCCATGCTGTGCCATACCCATGCTGTATCCTTGCAGTGCCCTTGCAGTGGCCATGCTGTGCCATACCCATGCTGTACCCTTGCAGTGCCCTTGCAGTGGCCATGCTGTGCCATACCCATGCTGTACCCTTGCAGTGCCCTTGCAGTGGCCATGCTGTGCCATACCCATGCTGTACCCTTGCAGTGCCCTTGCAGTGGCCATGCTGTGCCATACCCATGCTGTACCCTTGCAGTGCCCTTGCAGTGGCCATGCTGTGCCATACCCATGCTGTACCCTTGCAGTGCCCTTGCAGTGGCCATGCTGTGCCATACCCATGCTGTACCCTTGCAGTGCCCTTGCAGTGGCCATGCTGTGCCATACCCATGCTGTACCCTTGCAGTGCCCTTGCAGTGGCCATGCTGTGCCATACCCATGCTGTACCCTTGCAGTGCCCTTGCAGTGGCCATGCTGTGCCATACCCATGCTGTACCCTTGCAGTGCCCTTGCAGTGGCCATGCTGTGCCCATCGAGCACCCGGGGACACACGTGCACTGGCGCACACGCGCCCACGCGCCTTGCTGTCCGCACGGGCAGAGGCGCACGCCCTGCTGTTGCACGGCCACGTGCACAGACGCACACGCCCTGCCCTTGCACAGCCACATGCACAGACGCACACGCCTTGCCTTTGCACAGCTACGCATGCACATACCCTTCTGTTGCATGGCTACCCGTGCACACCCCCCCCCACCTTTGCACAGCCCCACGTGCACGAGTGCACATGCACTGCTGTTGCGCGGCCACACGCACACACATGCTCTGCCATGACACAGCCACACATGCACAAACGCGCTTGCACTGCCGGTGCACGGCCACATGCGCACAGGCCCTGCCACGGCATGGCCACGTGTGCACAAATGCATGCATACTGCTGGCGCATGGCCACACGTTCACACGTGCCCTGCCACGGCACGGCCACATGTGCGTGGTCGCATGTCCTGGCGTTGTATGCACACATGAATGGAGGAACACACAAAGCCACACATGCACATGTGCCACCGTTGCCCAGTGGGGACAAACAGGGGGCACAGCAGGGCAGTACTGGGAGAACAGTGGGCTACACTTGGGGGGGGGGTCATAGGGTCATACTGGGGGGCGCAGCGTGGCTGTACCCTGGGGTCAGCATGGCTGACTGGCGAACCAGCGGGGCTATAATGGGAATCATCAGGCCATATCAGAGGGGAACACTGGGGACATAGTGGGAGCCACTGGGTCAGACTGGGGGGACGTTGGGGCCACACTGGGGGCATCAGCAGGGCCATATTGGACATGACAGGGCCATATCCGAAGGGAACAACGGGACCATACTGGGAGTCAGTGGGCCACACTGGGGGAATCATTGGGTCATACTGAGGGGG